AGTAGTGGCCATTTCTGAGTTTGGGGCAAGCATATTATGAGAGTAAACATTTCCATGTCTGCAGATCTTAATTTCAGGCTTCTGTGACCATTTCTAATTTTGACTTAATGCCTTCTGTGAATTACTGCTATCACCAACTTTCTCCCAGATCATTAGGAACTAAGTGGAAAGACTGTTTGTAAATACTTCAATATCCTTATCTTTCCCCGGGAAAGGTACGCACCAGAAATAAAGTCTTGGAGAAAGAAGCGACGACTCTGCTTAGGTCTGTGCTGTGCCTGCATCTGAAAGGGGACGATGTCTACTGTCTGCGTGACGGGGAGGGAGAACAGGGAGAGATCAAGTGTGCCAAAAATGGGGAAAGAGTGAGACTAAAACAAGTGAATATTCCAGATGAACTGGAAAATAACCCAGGCCTCTGATGTACACTGACTTCCCAAGCTATAAGAAATATTCATGCTTCTTATAAAAATCATAATTTAAAGTTACATATAATTATTTTGATTTTCTGTTCTACATTGTACTGTCTCTGACTAATTTTTCAGTCTAAGAATTAGTTATACCAAGCTAATCGGAGGCAAAACGTGATGGAGACACTTTCATCAAACGGAACTCCACAAAAATTTCATACCAAATGCCAATTACATTTTTAGATACATTCTCCAAGTGCTTGATATAAAGTCTAACTTCTTTATAATGAAAAAAGTCAAGGAATATATTTCTGTGTATTCTTCTGCTAAACAATCTAGAATTTTGGTGAGTCACATTCTGCTGAAAGTGACAGATCTAAGGAACAAGGTCAGGAAAACAGAATGTGACCTCTACCTAACAAAGAAAAAGCACTATAAAATTAACAGCTACAATTCAGTTCTTTTCCTTCTTCATGTAACAAGTAAAAAGGAAAGGAACCAGCATCTTCAACATAAAGAGGTGTGAACTGTTAGAAAGGCTGTCTTCAAGGCCTACAAAGTGAATGATACCCATGAGGAACATGCTCCCCAGAACAATCAATCAATAGGAGACCAAAGGGCAATATTTGCCCAAAAGCAAAGTTCAGAAGGCAGGAAAGGGCAGGAAAGCTGGGCAAATGGACATGGGGACCCCAGGGAGGAAGTGGGGTGAGTGCTGACACACTGAGGGGATAGCAACCAATCTCACGAAACAAGCTGTGTAGTAACTGTTGAATGGGAAACTAATCTGCTCTGTAAACTATTACCTAAACTACATTAAAATGTTCAAAAAAAACCAAGACTGTCCTAGAAAAGCAGTGTTTATTAGTTGCTAAAGAAGTCACAGCTTTATTATTACAAGCCATTCTATACACAGAATCAACAGCCATTCTTAGCAATAGTAAGGGTCACAAGGAAGTCACACTCTGGAGGATTTTCAAGTTCTCAAGGGCTCCACACTATGACAACCCTGGAGTCTCACAAAGTCTTACAGCCAGTCCTCTAACCTCTGCTTAAATTCTGAAAGAGGTTCACAATTATTTGACCCCATCCTTACATGTGACAATGTCTTGCCTATCAAGTAGACAAAAAGGAGACACTCCCTCCACCCAGTCTCCGGTAAGTGCCTAATCTAAAACATCATCAATTTTAAGCTTTACCATTATTTTCTGTACCGTAACAAAAATGCTACTGAGTAAGATAAAATGTTTCGCCAAAATCAATTCTAAGATGCATATCTCAGAGATGTTAAATGTGAAAAAAATGTGCATCTTATACTTGATCAGCAATAACTTTACAAAAGGGGCCACATAAACCAGAGACTCCATCAGCCTAAAAGAACTAGATGGTGCCCAGCTACCACCAATGACCGCCCTGACAGGGGACACAACAGAGTCCCTGATGGTGCAGGAGAAGGGTGGGCTGCAGAACTCAAACTCTAGTAAAAAGACCAGACTTAATGGTCTGAGAATGAAGGGACCCCAGAAAGCATGGCCCCTGGACTCTGTTAACCCAGAACTAAAACCATCCCCAAAGCCAACTCTTCAGACAAAGATTAGACTGGACTATGGGACATAAAATGATACTCGTGAAGAGTGTGCTTCTTAGTTCAATTATTTACCACTCAATTATTTAGACACAAGAGACTAAATGGGCAGCTCCTGTCTGGAGGCAAGATGAGAAGGGAGAAAGGGACAGAGCTGGTTGAATGGACATGGGAAATCCGGGGTGGAAATGAGGAATGTGTGGTCACATTGTAGGACAGCAACTAGGGTCACATAACAACGTGTGTATAAATGTCTGTATGAGAAACTAACTCGAGCTGTAAACTTTCACCTAAAGCATAAGTGAAAAAAAAAAAAAAAGGAACTTTACAAGAAGGCAAGTCTAAGACCAACCATTCATCCCTTTTACTTAACAAGAATATAAGAAATATTCTCTGCCAAGTAGAAAACATGCTGGGCAAGATAAAAGATCAGAAAATTGGGATTTGGTTCCAGTTTTAAATTAACAGAACTAAGTGATTCTGAATAAGTCATGTAATATAGTCATGGCTGATTTCTTATCTGTAAACTGTAGATAAACACCTCACAGAATTGTTTTGAGAACTAAATAAAAAGGTACCTTACAAAATGTAAAGTACAACCATGATGTGAGCTTTCTACTATTCACGCCATGTCTGAATAAAATCAACTCTTGATCAAAACAATAACAAGTCAGTCTTGTTATGGTTGGTTGTGAAGTATTAAAAAATAAAAACTAAATTCTGCCATTTTATAAATTAATCAATACCTTATTCATATTCCCAAAATCATTTGAATTTAGCCATTAGACAAAATGAGTTTAACTGTTAAATTTGATACAATTGTAAATGTGGAGAATCAAAGTATACTACAGATAATTAACATATGAGAGCACGGTAGAAAATAATTATGGAAACTCTAAAGAGTAGATATGAACGTTTATTATCTGCTTATCATCTTCACAGCCCTAATTCAAGTGCTCAGAAACTGGATTTTTTTGTCTTGTGATACTGCGCTGGAAAAAAAAAAAAAAATCAGGGCTCTTTTTAACATAATACAGTTTCAACTGTCCTTCCTACTGGAAAAAGGCAGAAGTGTGTCCTATTGTATATGCCCTGATAACTGTATATTTGGGTTAAGTCCTTAATCTAATTCTATCAAAGAAGAAACTGTTCATCTAAACATTTTAGACATTTTAAGCTAAAGAAACTCATCATCTCTGAAAAGGGAGGTCAGAAATCTTGTCTTCATTTCAGTCATTTCTGACAAATGAAGCCTCTCAAAGTTGGGCTCCTACTAGCACAGCCCTCACTGACCCCCACCATCAGCCCGTTGAAGGGAAGCTACTTGTAGTGAGTAGTTAATTTCAACCAAATCCCAAAGTCAGTGAATTGAATCCTGTTCCATTTACAGAGGTCCATCATCATGTGGTTTACTTTATTCTCCCCACCATGATTCTATGATATAAGTGTGCACAAATCTTAACATTAATGTATACTCTTTTGGATACAAATGTACTTTGCCTAAGATAGCAAAAGAAATTATTTTAAAAGTCAATTATATTATTTCTGAACTGAAAGTGCAAGTACCATGTATCACAATAACTGCTTCTGTATTCAAAATATGAAATGCTTTTAAAAAATTGCTCTGAAAAATGGAAATATAAAGAAATACATACCAACTCCTTTTGTGAATGAAGAAACCCATTATTTATTTATTTTAAAATGTGCTTCAGGTGAAAGTTTACAAAGCAAATGAGTTTCCTATTCAATAGTTTATACACAAATTGTCCCATGACATTGGTTGCAATCCCCGCAATGTGTCAGCACTCTTCCTACTACCAGCCTCATTTCCCCATTTCCATTTGGCTGGTTTTCCTGCCCCTTCCTGCCTTCTCATCTTTGCTTTTAGACATATGTTATCCTTTTGGTCTCATGCAGATGACTGTTGCAAGGGCATTTTCCTCACGTGTGTTAGTATTTATTTATAGTCCTATTATTTGGCTGAAAGGTGATCTCCAGGACTGCTTCAGTTCCAAGGGTGTCTAAGGGCCATAGTCTCAAAGGTTCCTCCAGTCTCTGGCGGACCAATAAGTATGATCTTTATGAATTTGAGTCTTGTTCTACATTTTTTTCCCACTCTAACAGAGATCTTCTAGTGTGATCCTGGTCAGAGCAGTTGGTAGTGGTAGCCAGGCACCATCTAGTTCTTCTGGTCTCAGGCTAGAGAAGGCTGTGGTTCACGTGGGCCATTAGTCCTCTGGACTAACTGTTTCCTTGAGTCTTTGGTTTTTTCACTCTCCTTTGCTCCAGATGGCAAGAGACCAATGGCTGTATCTTAGATGGCCGCTGGCAACCTTTTAAGACCCCAGACGTGACTCACCAAAGTAGGATGGAGAACGTTTTCTTTATGACCTGTGTTATGCCAATTGACCCAGATGTCCCCCGAGACTATGGTCCTTAGTCTTCAAGCCCAGTAACTCATTATCGTGTCTGATTATGTCTAGGCTGTTTCCATGACTGTGTCCTCTGTGTGCTCCATTACATATATGAATATACTTGCAGCACATAACAAGTATGCATGTAGAAATATTCACAGCCAAACCTATATATGCACATGGGTGTACTCCCATATGTTCTCCCACACCTATTCAGCATACATATCTACCTATGTATCCACTCATAAATTACTGTTTGTTACTACCGTTGTTGCAGGGTTATGTACGTTATAGTATTTACCTTCATTGCCTTTTATTCTTGTGTACCTCTCAATGTCTTCCCTTGCCTTGGTTACGTTGTGCTGACCTCCCCCATGTTGTGTACTGCCTTTCCTTTCACCAAAGGAAACCCATTACTGCAGACTTAGATCATCAACCTGAATAAATAAACAATGAGATGCAAATCCCCTCCTCTAACCATAGTGTTAAAAAAAAAATTACTGTATAATTTCATCAAGTAGATTAATTTTATCAAGTAGTTCATTTTGGTAGTATACCAGTAATCAAACATGAGACTTAATAAATACGTACAGTTCCAGAGAGGACATCATGGGGGCAACAGTTGAGAAGGTGACTCTTGCATACTCTGTCGTCACTGAATTTGATTCGTTGACGAGTAGTATCTCCTGTAATATAGAAAAGTTGGTAACATTCAAGGTTAGACAACTGGAAAGTATTTATTTTCCAAGATTCCTACTATCACTAGCCTTTTATGTGTGGCTCTATACACACACATTTATAAATCAGCTCAAGAAGGATTAGTTTTTTATAAAACATCCTACAGAAAAACTACTTTAGACAACATGCAGTTGCAGTATGTGTACTGCACACGTAATTCAAAAAGTCAAAGTGGGAAAGCAATGCATTCTGTTAAACAGAGTACTTCAGAAAAGCATCGGATTTTAGAGCAGGAATGGACCTTAAAGATTACAGAGTCCAACTCCTTCATACTGCAGATGAGGAAACTGAAGCCCCAAGAGGTTAAGCGAACTGCAGAAGACCCACCAGAAGAGTTTCTACTTATTGGTATATAGCGTTCCCTTCTTGACACTACGTATTGATTTATTTTGTAATTATTTACATTAATTGAAAAACATAAAAAGTAATCTGGGCAAGCATTGCATACACACTGCGAGTCCCCACTGAACCCCAGACGCCATTTCTTCCACTATTTTGTTCCAGCTGTAGTGTCTCCCTTTTGCTGCTGGGAGGAGTTAGAGAGGGTAGAATAACGTGTTTAAGAGCGTACAAACCTGGAAGAAGGACTTACACACCAGTCAAACAAAGGCATACTGCCTAAAAGAAACGTTCACTTTAATGCCTCCAAAGGTCCCATACTTCCACATCTTATGCAGTCTGTGCTATTGATGCCAAACTGGGTACGTTTATACTCACTCTCTCTTCACATAACACAGTATACCTCCTAAACAACAGAAGCATCCAACCTGCTTATCGAATATGGCAAACTACTTGAAACCTTAAAGAAACCAAGAGTAAGAAAGGTAACTAGCTTTAATAACAAAATATAAATGTTAGTTCAAACTATTTTCTTTAGGATTTCTTTGCAAAAACAAAAGAAAAAACTCGTTAAGAGTGTTTCTTCTTTCTATGTAGAATGATAAGCCCTAAGAAATATGTTTTATTTTAGCCTCAAATGGTAATAACCTTGATGTCATCACTGATGAGTGAAAACCTACTGGTGAATTACGGAAGCAAAAACAACTGCGTGGCAACAAAACAAATTGTAAACACCTTTGTACTTCACATGAGGCCCAGAGCACTCCAGAAACTTTCAAGGAAGTCATTCAACGATTTAAATTAATTTTTGCATTTTCACATGTGAATAATAAAGTTAAACTTTACCCCTTATTATGGTCTTATTTTAGTCAACTAAATACGGCCATTTTTATGGGGCAAGATTTTGTTCAAATTGTTTGAACTTGTTTAAATAGACTTATTAAACATTTTAATCTTTCACCAGGATACATAAAATTTCATCAACAGTAGTACACAGCTAAAATAATAGCTTCATAGCAGTTCAACAATAGGTTTTCTAGAGGCTAGTCTCTAGTTAAAGTAGGTTATTTTTGACACCACAACTTGGAATTATCCATTTAGTGTTCACGCCTGCTACTATAATAAAAGTTATTTGGATGGTCCTTTCTTTCTTTGAAACACAACTGCTTTTGTTCCACATTCATTAACACATCTGAAAAGTTAGTGATAACTCACGGCTCGGCGAATGCGGGGCCTTTCTGACACTCCCTTGCAGATTGAAGTAGGCAGGCATAGATACATTGAACCTTTACAAATAAAACAAGGGGCCAGATTGTTCAGTTTGTACAGAGTAGACTCTGCCAGCAATTTCAATACAGCATCTAGAAGTACATGTTGACTGTAAAGATTCTCGTATATGAAAACAAAAGTGAACAAAATCAGCGTGTTTTATGTTTTAAATACTGACTTAACAAGTGTGACCCCAGAGAAGAATATGGTTGATAACAAGTAAAAGTTCAAGGCTGCAGCTCTGGAAAGTGGTCCTTGGGCCAGCTGGGGTTAAAAAAGTGTCGTTAAAAAGTGTGTTTCACCAAGACTTTGGCGAAGGCCTCAGCTCATGTCAGAATGGTATTATACGATAAGCTCACACCAGAACGGCAACGCTGTTAAGAGGTTTCTTGCTTCCTAGCATAAAAGAAAAATCTGTGTCAAATCAGAAACTTAGTTATGCTAACAAAATGAAAGATAATGCAACTTTTAAAAGTAGGAGGAAAAAACAAAACAAGCAGCTTAGACATGTGGAGTCTTCCTGCTACAGGTACCTAGGTTTTGGTAATGCAATATAGAATCATTTCAGCACTTTGCTAAACTAATGGCTCAAGGGTATTTTACTATAAGCCAGGCTTTACAATTAAAAAATCAAGATTCACAGAAGTTTTACTAATCAAGTAGGGTGACTGTTTTTGCTTAAGAAATAACAGCATTAAATCTACTATTAAGACATATGTGCCCTGAAGACACAGTTATCGGATAAAATTTGAACAATTCCAAATATGAACATAACTAACAGTACTCCTGGTGAGCTTTAAAAAAAAGAATCAGTTCTATAAATGCCAAGAAACACCTTAAAATAACTCCTCACTACACATGAATAGGTGCTTTATAAATCTTTGATAACTGTAGTAAACACAATAACAATAAACACAGCTATCAAATACTACTAGCCTGTGTATTACAGAAACGTTTAATAAAACCCTAATAATTTGGGATACAGAAATACCCTGAGAGGGACTAGCAACTGAATATTTGTTTATTGATATTTTTTAAGTTTTACTTAAGGAACTTTAAGGATAACACTTTCAAATAATTTGGCTACATTACCATGTAGAATGTAATAAACTGATTTGGACTTATGACATGAAAGTATAATCAACTAAACAAAGAATTTAAAAATAAAAACACTAATGATTTCAGTTTCTGTCAAGATATCTGGCCCAAACCATGTTTTTCAAAAGAAACTAGGCAGAACAGTGCCCATTTAAAAAAAAAAAAAAGTTTCAAATAATAGGGAACAAATATGAACCAGATCTCCTTATAATACAAAGGATTATTTTATGAATTTGATGTACTGTATCTTTGGGTTTTCTGGGCATACATTCAAATAAAAAAATAACCTAAATTAAGAAAGAAAGGAAAAAAAAAAAAAGGGCTCTGTTACACTAAGGTTGGATCTAAATCACAAACTCAAATCTATTCTTGAACATACCCTCTGGGCTAGGCAATGGGGTTACAAAGAGTTACATAAGGGGTTATATAAGACAAGCTCTCTATCCTCAAGAAGCCCATGATTTTGCCAGAGAAATAGGACATATAAATGAATTAACAAGTAATAATACAAGCAGCATGATCCAAGTGTCAAATGGGTGTTTCAAATAGGTAGTACTTCAGGAATTCTAAGACTAAAATGACCAGCAAGGACTGGAGAGGCTGGAAAGGCTTAATGCAATAAGTAGAAGGCAAACTTTGAGGGAAAGAGGACTCTGATCAAAGGAAACAAGCGTGCATTTGAAATGGAGTAATATCTTCAACAAAGCTAAAAAAAAAACCCTCCATTGCCGCTGAGTCGATTCCGACTCATAGCAACCCTGTAAGACAGAGTAGAACTGCCCCCATAGGGTTTCCAAGGAGCATCTGGTAGATTTGAACCGCTGACCTTTTGGTTGGCAGCCGAGCTCTTAAACACTGTGCCACCAGGGCTCCTCAACAAACCTTACAGAAGCAGAAAGGTCTGGAACAGTAAACAGAACATATTCAGCTTTGTCAAACAGCTTAAGGCAGGAGAATGGCAAAGCTGGGGCTAGAATATTTTTGGAAGTAAAACCTGATTTCTTAGATAATGTTTCTTCATCTTCTTAACCCAGATTAAAAAATGTGTAGACAAAGAAAGGAAAGAAAGTTTAAGAATGAGAGGGCAGAGATTTGACCATCATTTCAGTCAACAACACAACAAAAAGCCCTTCCCAGAAAAGCAGGGAGGTCTCTTCCCTATAACCTGCACAGTAATTAATGAGGCTTTGTAAATGACTATGATTAGAAACTTGGTTTGCAACTTGGGAGGCAAAGTGTTTTTCATTTGCATGGTGCAGCAAAAAATTTTATTATTATTTCCTACCAAGCTACTATCTTCAAACTAGGAACTCTCTTACCTCCCTCTTTTGTTCAATCCTTCATGAGTTCCATGAACCCTAACCTTTATCTGGGGCCGTGTGAGTTACGGGCGCACAATAAAAACTGGAATGCATGCTCTTCCTCTCCAGGTCTTTCAGCCAGAGCCGACGGTGGCGCTGGGGAATATGGGCAGGCCACTGAAAGAGGGCTCCTGCCCAAACTGTAGTAAAACACTGCTGTTTGCAAAATCCCCTCCCATTTGTTGGGAGGGGAAAAATAGCTCCATTGTAATCCCCAACGCTGCTATTTTATGGCCCTGCCTTCTGAGATGAAACCAGACCTAAGTATTAGTAGTAACACTTAAAACCTCAGCCAAGATGGTATTGAACGTGGTGCATGCTACTTCCCCAACACCCACCTCTCCCATGTCACCCACCCACCCTCTCCCTCCCAAACAATAAACCACATCAACTTTCATAGATGCATGTGCTATTTTAAAAACATCAAAATTTTACTTTACCCATTCTCTCCGATGCTCCCTGTATTTCTAAGCTGTGAGTGGATGCCCATGCTATGTGATCAACAACGGTGAAGGCTGAGCAAAAGTGAACTGAGTTTAGTATTATAATTTTAAAGGAATCTTAAAGTTTGTAATATTTGACATATTTAATGGTATGCAGAATCCTTATTTTACTGCACATTATCAGGCATTAATGGCAAGCAATTTATAAAAACAATTAGTATTTCTTTTGTACAGCATTAGCTTGGAGCTTAGCTTAGGGGAAAGAAAGAAGAGACATTCAGCAGCATACAAGCACATCTAAGCATACCCTAGTCCACAAATGGAGCCGGGACAAGGGAAGCCCTCCCCACAGGTACACTTGATAGGGGCCGAGCGTCACAACTGGTTTGGGACAGGGCAGACCCCTTCCCTCTGAAGAGCAGCACCCCTTTAGGGCAGGGAAACTGAGAGCTAGAAAGAGGTACAGCATTCAAGTTTAACACTTCCAGTATCCCTGTCCCCTCAAACACTCAAATGCAGAGATGCCCCTCCTGCAACCATTTCTTCCAGCTTAAGTACACAGTACACAGTACTGAAGACACAGTAATGTGGGAACTACATAAAGACCCACGGCCAATTTCTGGTTTTAAAATTTCTAGTCTAGTACAGGGCAGGAAGAGACCTTAAGAAGTGCTCAAGTAAACCTTGTCTTCATGTGGAGTCAAAGTAAAAGCAGGGGACTATTACTGCATGGTGACTGTTGCACTGAGGAACCCATCTGATCACTTTTGTACCCTCTTCAAACTTTCTCACCAACTCTACCAACTTCTCCCACCTACCTTGGCTGTTCCTTTATAATTCAGCTTAAAAATCACCTATACGAACTCTTTCATAATTAATCTTTTAAAAAAAAAAAAACTCTTATTACTCCTTTACTTCATGTTCCCTTGTTAATACACTCAGTTTAATCCACTGTATGTTTGCATTTGTTTGATAACTTCTTTTTCAAATTTCAAAGGTTCACAGAAGGCTCACCTTACAAAACGACTCACCACCACACCTTGACATAATATGGTTATAGATGCGTTGAAAGCGGTTAATGTGACTTGATACATGTTAAACGTTGTAGGAATACATTTATTACACAAATAAGAGCACTAAGCCAAATATGGCAGTGGGAAAAGCCAACTATTGCAGTCTTCCTTCCAAGTGTAGTATCAAGTCATCTCTTTCTAACAGAACTTATAAAGTCCCACTGAGTAGGAATGGCAGCGTTCCTTTCCTCCAGGCTATCTTCTCACTCTTTTGGTTCATACAGTCCTACAAGTTTATAATTATAAATAGATACTAATATCACCCCCATCATAATCCCCATGACAAGCCCAGAAATTTAAAAAATGCAATGCCCCTCGTAGAAAAAATTTCCAGAATAAGTTTATTCTTGCTAGATATAATCAAAGATTAATAATTTTTTTTAAATAAAATCTACTAGCCCACTTATCCGTGTAGCTACATTATAAAGAACACAACTGGGAGACAGCCTTGGTAGGAGGAGAAAACGCCTGCAGGGTCTTTTAAGAGCTAACAGAATGGTGATGATGGAAACGTAAGGTAGCTGCATCCCAAGGGTTCTATTCCACCCCCAGCCCATCTTCTCCCATTCTATAAGCAAAGGGTCGTGGCCACTGGCAGGGACCAATCTCATGTCTGGGGGTACATGATTTAGGAAATCTCTCAGGGTATTTCTCTTTTCAGATTTAAAAGACACATTAGAAAAGCTTGAGTAAACAATTAAAAATTAAGTTCTAAAAGTGGGCTATATATAATTTGTTTTATGATATGTCATAAAAGAAATTCAGTCATTAAAAAGTTGCAGCCTGCTAATTTTTATATTTTGATACTTGCAGAGCTGCAATTCTGGTACAGTAACAACCATATTCTGGATGTCTTGTGCCTTCTATCATCCAGACCTTTCTATACACAAAATTAGAACTAACGAAAGCTACCTCTGGCTACGAAGAAATAGCTGGAAAGAATCAAAGAAAAGGTGATTGGGGGATTTATCTATTCAAAAAGACAAGTTTTCACTGGTCGGTGATAGCTATAAAAGCCAAGCAAAGCCTCCCCAAATCTAAAACCAACAAGCAAAGGAAAGAAAGGAAAAGGAAAAGAAACAAGAGCCATCAACGAACAGAGGTGACAGACAGCCCAATAACAAAGAGAGGAAGTTCAAATGAAAAACGGAGATTACCAATGAAGGAGGCATGAGCTCTAAACACACAGCAGAAATACTGTGTCACGCTGCATACACAGCAAAATCAGAAGGACAGCCTCCAGAAAAGGACTGAGACTCTGAGGCGGACCATAAAAACCAAAAAACCAAACCCGCTGCCGTCGAGTCGATTCCAACTCACAGCGACCCCCAGAGGACAGAGCAGGGTTTCCAAGGAGTGGCTGGTGGATTCAAACTGCAGACCTTTTCGTTAGCAGCCAAGCTCCCAACCACTGCACCACCAGGGCTCCAAAGGGGACCATAAAGGACTTTATTTGTTATGTTTTATTTCTTTTTTAAAAAGTTAAGGAAAATATATCTCCTCAATCCCACTACTTGCCTGTACCCTCAGCAACTATAAGCTTCAGTGCTTGCATGAACCACCTGGTATCGAACACTAGTTGGCTCACTAAACCCGACTCTGTCTGATCCATGACATCTACTTGCCTTTGCATTCCTGCTACCTTGCTGAACCATCTTGAACATGAAGCCTGCTACCATTTATCCTCATATGACAACCTACTTGTTGCAAATACACATTATGCAGAGATGAACAAAATTATTTTTCTTTGGTTTCAATTTATCTTTTTATTGAAGTAAAAGAACATCTTATACTGTTTTTCTGGACTGCTCTGTAGATAGAACTAATATTCAGAATTCAAAATTCAAAATAAGGAAAAAAATTTTTTTAAGTGATTCACTATGAAGGTGCTAACAGAGCTTTCAGTGTTTTCAATATGCTTGGAACTCTCATAAAGTCAAATACTCATGGAAACTCAAACTATTGTTTAGCCTTATGTTTTCTGAAACTTCTTATAATGAAAAAGAATTTACAGGCTCTCGATCAAGATATACCCTATTACTATTTCAAAAACGTGTGCTTGTACGTTGAGGGCTATGCCTCCGCCACTTAAAATGAACAATCCAAGTGGAACAGAAGAATGGCTTACAACTGACCAAGAAATGAATATTGTCTATGATGTTAATGACAAAAATTAAGAGAAAATACTCTCAATGTTGATGATAAATCAAGGAACACAGATTACAATAAAGATGATTTTATAAAGAAGAAAATCCACTGAAGGAAACACTACCTCAATCTTTGATTCAATAATTAGTTTTGCAGAAAGGCAGCAACATCCTAGAGATTATAATTATATATCATGAAATATATCAGAAACAAGTAAATGATTTTCTGAACTGTATTTTTCTGAGTCTCACCTAGGATGACCATCCCTTCAATTTTACATTCCATTAACTATAACTATCACACAATATAATAAACTGAAAAATTATGATCAATATACTCAACTGAGGAAGTATATCATACAGTTTAGAAAGACTGCCATGAAAAATAGCTAAAATTACCTGAAAGCTTTAACTTGCCCCAAATATTCCTTAACCATAATGGACAACTGAAGATGCTATAAAAACCATACCACATTCCAACAGACTACTGGTTATTTCAGATGGCATATTACCATTGCTATCCTGTCTACAACCTTTCAGAGATGGTCTCTGTTCCGTTTAAACATTATAAGCAATTAAGAGGAATGGAATCCTCAGAACCACCTTCTGTAACTTCTCTGTAGTATCTAAACTTAGGGTGGAATCTAAATCCAAACCCTCAATTTTGTAAACAAAAATTCCTATCCTTTGCACCTTTTCAAACCTTTCTTGGGTCAGGACCAGAGACTTATCATTACCAAACTGTATCTGTTGACAGAAGGGCTTTCTTCGGTGATACCCTTGCAATTAATCCAACCTAGCAAAAAACGACTATAGTCTGTGCAAGGACATTGGGTTCTGCCAACTACCACACAGATGATTCTCAAATAGCTCCTTGAATTTTCCTATGCTGCTCCTTCCTGCTTTCAAATGGAATATGTTCAGGGAAAGCAACTATCCTTCTCCCTCCTATATTAATGCTAACAATTAAAACAGAAAGATATTTATAAAATTTATGTTAAATTTGAGAGAAAATAAGATACTAATAATTTATATCTACTAACTGCTCCTCCCCTCTAAAAAACTTCAAATATATGTATTTTTCAACAGTATAACATAGGAAAGTATGTCTTCCCATTTAACAAACTATAGATTTAACTTGAGGCAAAAAAGGTTAAGTGACTTACCCAAGGTTACAATTAGAGGTACAGCTGGGGCTAGAAACCAGGTCTCCTGAGTCTCAGCCCAGTGCTCTTTTCCTTAGCCCATGATGCCTTATTAGAAAAATCCAAATACAGTCAGACCCCCAGTTACATGGGTACGAGTTACACTGATTCACATATACAAACTTTATATAGTGTGACCAATGTTTCAACTCACGCGGTACCCTGCTTCCATTTATGCAGTATGCCAGGCATCGGCACGATTTTCAGTGGCACACAGGCGGTTGCCACCACCAGGGCCCTAGGCAAAATTGCAAAGAAGGCAAAGTTTGTCTTTGGCCCTCCCACCTCCCTTATGCATTCCTCTCCCACCTCCTGGTCATCCCCCTGCCCAGCCTCCCAGTGCCATCATGCTGCCCTCTGATTGTCCAAAGCCCCCCACGTCCACCACACACCCAGGCCTGTCCTTTCTTGAAGTGCCCAGTGATCCAAAATTACCTGTCCATTTCCCTGCCACCAAAATCCCTATTCCTGAGGATTTCAGTGAAGTTTAGGTAATCTAGGTGATTGATTTAAATAATTCAAAATAAGGTAGATTTAACTAATAGACCTAAATCTCCAGGGAGTTTAAAAAGGAACTAAAAGCTGTTGGGAGGGGTAGAGGGGAGCGGGAGGAGAAAGAGAAGCAAAGTTTTCCCAGTGATCACCAGAGCTTCTGATACTTCCTGTGCCACTTCAGATCCCCTCAGACAAGACACTAAGGGTTGAGAGGGTTATTGTCGCCTTGAGCCCCACTATCCAAGAAGACGGTATATTAAGTCTCTGGGATTTAAAAACAAACAAAGCCAGAAGCTGCCTTAGATCCCTCTACCTACCCTTTCTAGCTTTCTCCCACCTCCTGGATCCCATTTCCACCTCTTAGTGCCAAAGACACCCAACAGCATTCCCTGCAAGCTGTTTCTGTGTTCAACACAAAGTTTCCCATTATATGGTTTCAAATTACATGGTGTTTTTCAGGAATGCATCCATGTTCCCCTACCCGTGGTTAAGTTGAAGTTGGCAATATGCTAAGAAAGAACAATCCTAATTACATAAACGTCTTGAATCATAAAATGAAATATGTAAACTCATAAAATATCTGGTAAAAAGGAAAAGAATGTTCTGATTCTTGTTATATACATAAAAGAGCTAATTTCAATAGCTAAAAAAAATTCAATTCTTTTCCTTGAAAGTACTATGTTTCTTGCTTCTGGCCCAATACAGCAGTGAAAATCCAGTCATTTCACTAAATGATATCGTGGCTTCATAACTATGGGTTCACAGATAAATCCTCCAAGTCTGAAGGCAAAAAAATCCAGTAACAGACACATAAATATAAATTTATTTGTATACAAAGCAGAGCGGATTTTAAGAAATCCACGTTTCTGCTGACTACATACACAAAAGTATATATACATACGTATATATACACATATAGTAAATTTAGCTTTGCAATACTACATGGGCTGCCTGGTTCAGAAACTTATGGGTGATGACACGTTACATTGAGTCAACTACCCTCCCAGTAAAATTAGGAAATCCAGTCCATACAGAAGGTACCAAAAGCGGTATCCATCAGGGATTAAAAAGATCATACTAAATAAGTCTTTAAAGATTTCTATAACTTTACTAAGTAAAATTCTGGCGGCTAACATCCTAGATTAGGTCCCTCCTGGATACCCTCTTCACACTGGAAAAGGAGCAATGTTAAGACATGCTGCAGTTATAAAGTAACCATTCTTATCTAAACATGAAAAATTATGTTATTTTAATGTTAACTTCCAAAAGGTTTACTAAACAAATAACACCACTTCCTTCCCAATCTTTCCCTGCTTTCTACACACCAACCGTAGATTTACCATCTACACCTGCTTGTCTCTATGTTCCAAGGAGAAACGCTTCAATGTGGGTTTTTATTAAAACTCTGAGAAACCAATCTAAATACGTGCTGCTAAAAGATCTGATTTCAGTAAACGGCTTTTTTCCCTATCTATTCACATATTTTGCTTTACTGTAAAGCATTCAGGTAAATTTTAAGACCGAATATTAAAAACTAAACTTAAAAGCGTGCCTTGTCAAGGAAAACTTGTCGGGAAAGAAAACATTTCTTAAGTGGCTTGGAAACTATTTGCCTTAACAGACAACATATAAAAATAAGCAAGGGTTTTTTGTTTTTAAAAGAAAAGTACTTAACTAGACCTTTCCCCCATATTAGCATGGGTTTTAGTTGAATTTGGAAGAGTACACGACTAACATCATAAAGAAAAGCAACAGCATTTCATCTTTTTGTTCATAAACTCCATGACAAAGGATAATCCGGCAATTAGTGGTTTTCTATACAGATTTTAACCTAAGTGCCTCAAAGGATCTTGGCTTCCCTCAATTCTACTTCACTGGGCATCCGATTTTCAAAATGGCTCTAGTGGGGACACATGCAAAATCTGTCAATGTTTACTGAACGAAGCCTCTACTAAATTCTTTAACAAAATGGAGGTCTCTCCGAAAAAGACCATAGAGTTTTTCTTTTCACAAAATGGGGCCAAACGCACCCACTTCAAGAAACCATGGTTTGGGTCAGATTCTCCCGCAAGAATGGTGGTTTGCGGAGCCCAGGAGTGCATCCCCGGGCGGGGTTAAGAGGAGAGGATTCCTGCAGACCCACGAAAAGGAGGAGGGGTTCTCGCTCGAGACCCTGGAGGACGGCGGCGAGGGAGGACCCCAGAGCTCTAAGCTAAGGAATGAGTTCCGGGGCGGAGGAGTTAGCGGTCCGCAAGCGCCTGACCAGCGAGAAACGGACGGCCGACTGCGCAGGAGTCGTGGGCTCCCGGGTTCCAGCCAAGTCAACATTAAAGGCACACTCTCCTCTCCCTCCAGGCCCCGCCTTGCCCCATTGGCAGCCGTTCCCGCCAATCCGCACGGTCACCGCCCCAAACCCGCCTGCCGAGCCCTGATTGGACGGGACGGGAGCCGGGCCCTCGTGGTACCAATCTGGAGCCCCTTACTCACCACACACACTCACGCCCAGGTGCGCCCTTAGCCCCACACCCACCCCTCCCCCACCCCGGGGCCCGGCACCGGCTTACCGTCCCGGGACGTGCCCATCAACTGGTCCAGCATCGCGCGCATCTGGGCCTGCGCCGACATGGCGGCGGCGAAGCGGCGGCCGGGTGGGGGTGGGCGCAGATCGGGGCCTTGGGGCGGGGGGGACGGGGGAAGGGGTTGGGGAGACGAGACGCTGTCTCGGTGGCGGCGGCCGCCGCCTCACGGCGTAAACACAGAGAGCCGGAGGGCCGCGGGAGCGTCCGGGCTGCGCGCCTTGCGACGACGGGTGCGTGGAAGGTAGCGGCCCCGAAGGCAGCCCTGGTCCCCTCGCTTGGTCCGGGTCCTGGGACGGAAGCGAGATCTCGCCGCCAGCACTGCCACCCGCCACAAGCCGTCAGCCCCCCTTCAGAGCGCTGACGCCGCTCGCCGCCGCCGCGACGTGAGCGCGCACGCACCTCGCGCGCGCTCGTTTCCCGCGGGGGCTCCACCAACGGGCGTCCAACCGTAGTGGCTCCGCCCACCTCGCCCGACAGGCGTCCCGCCCTAACGGCTCGCAGGCGTGTGCACGCTGGCCGCGCCCGCGCCGTGCCCAGATCTCGCGAGACTCGGCTTCCTTGCCGACACGGAGCGGGATCTGTCTGAGGCGGTCAGCCTGTGTCTTCTAGCTGCCAGCGGGCTGAGTCGCCGGCCGCGGTGCTCGCAAATCAGAGACACAAATTAGCCCAGTGTGCCAGAGGGCTAGCCCCCGACGGAAGTAAGTAGAGACACTGCCCGCCGGTTCGACTGGGATTAGCAGTCTTCGTAGCTAAACTGGTAGTTATTTCTGACGAATAACGCTTTGCCGTCGAGTCGATTCCGACTCATAGCGACCCTATAGGACAGAATACAACTGCCCCATAGGGTTTCCAAAGAGCGGCTGGTGGGTTCGAACCGCCAAGCTTTTGGTTAGCAGCCGAGATCTTAACCACTGCGCACCAGCCTTCCAGTACTCCCCGATAAACTGGGTGTCAGGGTCCCCCGGAACCGTGTGGACGCCCTTTTTCCTCACTGCTGCCTTCCCTCCAAGAGCAGCCCTGGGACTTTCAGCAATTTATTTCTTAATCTCTCTTTTCTCATGGAGATAACAGTAATATCCTATAGCATTGTTGTGAGGAGTAGTGAACTAACAGAAAATGCCTATCAGAGACTTTCCCTGATGTTTTTTGTTTTCGTTTGTTTTTTTTTTTTTTTTGTAAAGTATTAATTTCTAAAGATGAGACATAGGTACTTTCTAGAGACTTTGAAAGGAAACAATGGTAATTTTTTAAGTAAAATTTTATATGCATTGCCTTGACTTATAATTTATTAGCAGGATCAACAGAGATTTACATGAAATAGCAATCATAGTCCTAAAATCCCTTTAAATGAGTATTGAGCCCATAAAGGATACTTTTATTATAATTTTTTTTTTTTTTAAACACAAGCAGAAGGATACTTTTATTTATTAGAAAACTCCATTAGTATACTGTTCCCTCTCCTAGTTGGTTGTATAGTGCCTGGGGTCTTAAAAGTTGCAAGTGGCCTTCCAGGACACAGCAATTGGTCTCTGTTACCTGGAGCAACAGAGGAAGGTGAGTCAGGAGGGAATGTGTGGCTAACTGCTTCCATGAAAAACTGCCTCCTTTGCCATGAGACCAGAAGAACTGGACGATGTCTGGCTACCGTTACTGAACATTTTGATCAAAGATTCCACAGAAGAATCCTAATCAAAAGTGGTGGTGGGAGGGGGAGAGATGCAGAACAGAATTTCAAAGATTTTTTTTTTTTAGAGTAAAAGCGTAAGAAGGGCACCCTTGACTGACACATACTGTTTTTAGTTGTCAAATCAGTTCCAACTCATGGCGACCCCACGTGTGCAGAGTACAACTGCTCTATAGGGTTTTCAAGGCTGTGGCCTTTCGGAAGCAGATCGCCAGGCCTGTCTTCCAAGTTGCCTGTGGGTGGGTTTGAACTGCCAGACTTTCCATTAGTAGTTGAGTGCTTAACTGTTTTTGCTACACGTAACAGGCATCCTAAAATGTTTGTTGAAGGAAGAAAAGAGAGAAAGTGAAATTTAATCTTGAGATTTGAAGAATGATAGGAATTAATTAGGGAAGGAGGGTAGGATTAGGGAGAAAAGCTTTCTGTGCAAAAGGAACAATAAAATGTTGAAAGAAAAACCATGGCTGCTAAGAACTGAAAACTTCTCTGTGGCCGGACTGTCAAATACAAGAAGAGAGTAGGCAGAGATGAGGCTGAAGAGGTTTGGCAGAGCCAGATCCTGGAAACCCTTGTTAAAGTTTTACTTTGAAGGATTGTAAGTAGGAGAGTACAAGATCAGATCTGTGCATAATAGAAGATGGATTGGTTGATGAAGAGCAAGATTGGAGTTAAAGAGACCAATTAGGGAAGAAGTAAAAGAGATCTTGATCTAGGATAGGAGCCCTGGTGGCACAGTGGTTAAAGCACTTGGTTGCTACAGAAAGGTTGGCGGTTTGAACCCACCAGCCGCTCTGTGGGAGAAAGATGCGGCAGTCAGCTTCTGTAAAGATTACAGCCTTGGAAACCCTATAGGTCAGTTCTACTCTGTCCTATAGGGTCGACTCGACAGCAGCAGGTAGTCTAGGATAGTAGTAATAGACATTCAAAAGATCCTTAGGAGGTAGAATCTAATTAATTGAGTGATGGTTTAACGGAGGATATAAAGGTGAAGAAGCAATCAAGGATAATTCAGATCCCTGGTTTGACCAACAGTGAAAGATAGTGCCAGTGATGTGATAGGAAATACCAGAAGAGGAGAAGAGATTTGTAGGGGAAGATGATAAGGATCCATTTTGGATGCATTGGATTTGGGATGCCTTTGAGTTATCTAAGTGGTGCAGTGTGCTAGGCCGTTGGACATACAGGTCTATAGCTTGGCAGGGAGGCCTGGCCTGGACTTATCAGCATATTAATGATAATTGAAGCTTTAGAAGTGGAGGTGATAACCCAGGGAAAGCATGTAAAGTATGAGGTAAGGACGTAGGTCTGAACTCTGAGGAATACCAACTTATAAGGGATACACAGAAGAGAAGACTGGAGACAATGAGTAGAGAGAAGAAAACAGAAGAAGGTCATGTCACCAAAGCCAAGGGAAGAGGAGGAGTGGTCAATAGTATTAAATGCTCCCTAGAGGGCAAACAAGGAACGAAAGGGCTGCCCTGGGATGAGTGACCTGAAGGTAACTTGGGAGGCACAGTGAAGGAGCAGAAACCAGTTTGATGTACACCATACTGTTAGTAATGGTTACCACCTGAGGACGAGTGGCTGGTGAAAAATGGAGAAAATATGCACAACATGGATGAATCTCAAAATCAGTATGCTGAGCAAAGGAAGCAGACTCAAAAGAGTACATATTATATGATTTCATCTGTATGAAATATTAGAACACATCAAACTCATCTATGTTGACAGCAAGTAAATCATCGGTTGCCTGGAACCAGGTGTGGGGAGGGGGCTATTCACTGCAACTGAGCACAAGAGAACTTTCTGGGGTGATGGAAATGCTTTATAACTTTACTGGGGTGGTTATTACACAGGTGTCAAAATTCATTGACTTGTATACTTAAAATGAGCGTGTTTATTGTATGGATATTATATCTCAATTAAACAATATACATTTTTAAAATGTAGAAAATGAATGTAATTCATTCAATATGATTCATTCTTTAAATTTGTGAAGAGGAAAAAGAAGGCCGTAGCTGAAAAGGCACTTGGGATAAGGCAGAGTAGTTTTTAGATGGAAGAGCCTTGAGCATGTTTAAATACAAATAGAAGGAAGCCAGTGAGAGGAATAGGTCAAAGAGGGTAAGAGAGACGGCAAAGTGCAGGAGTGTGATAAAGCGTGTACATCAGAAACTAGTTATAAGGCAACACAGTGCCAAACACTCAGGATCTCAGGATTCCCTGTTCTGGGCCTTCCCAATATAGAAAGTAGGCTGCTTGTGCATTTTGTGTTCTAGAATCAACTCTTTCCATTCTAACATTGAGTTCAGCTAATTCTTTTTTTTTGTTGTACTTCAGGTGAAGGCTTACAGAACAAATAGTTTCTCATGAAACAGTAGTAGTACACATATTGTTTTATGACATTGGTTAACAACCCCACAACATGTCAACCCTCTAACTTCTCAACCTTTTCTTTTTTTTT